ATATATATTTATCATATCGTAGGGTTAAGAAGAAGAGCGCCGAGCCAAGAAGAAAGAGGAGGAGGAGGAGGAGGAGGCTGACGAGCTGCTGCGCTCCGACTTTTCGGTAAACGTGAAATCATCTCGTCTCATCTCGGTATACTATACCTTATACTTGCACCAACCATCATCATCATCATCACAGCTTTTTCCCCTGTGTACGCACCAACACCATACACACAGTGTCGATTTGTTCGTATACACCACCCCCATACACAGTGTGCGTGTGTCTGTGCAGTGCCAGTGTGTGTATATATATATTTATATACGCGCGCGTGTGTGTGTGTGTGTGTGTGTGTGTGTATAATTATACACACAAGCCCGTGTGGTCGGAGAGGCCCATAGAAGAAGAGGCGGAGGAGGAGCCAGGTTAGGCGCTTTTTCTTTTTTTTTTTTTTTTTTTTTTTTTTTTTTTTTTTTTTTTTTATTAATAAGTTTTCCTTTCCTCGATTCTTATCGCTCGTGTGCACACACACACACACACACACACACACACGCGTATAGATGTAATAACTGGATCGGATCGGAGCAGCAAAGGCAACGAGCACTCTATTACCTATGTATATGAATATATACGTAAATAGTGGGTGTACGAAATGGTTCCTTTTTGTNTTTTTCACTTTTCCAAAGAAGAGCGCTGCAAGGGGACGAGATGACGATGGGCCATGGTGAACACACGCGCGAACAAAACGCCGATACCCACAGACCTGCGGTCCCCCTTCCAATTTTTATTTCTTCTCTCTCTTTTTTTTTCCTATTATTATTACCCCAATGAGGTTTGTTGCCCTGAAACGTAGCCTTTTCTTTTGTCCAAAACCAAAAGCTGAGACAACGAGGAGGACGATAAAAAGCTCGCGACGCGTAGAGAGCATCCGATATACGTGGTGTGCTCGTGGGTAAGCAGTTGTGCATATATATATCTTTGAAAGCTCGCTGCACGTGGTATCTCAAATTTCTTTCTTTTTTTTTTTTCTGTTTGTTCCAAGAGCTAAGATTTGTCGATCGCCCCCGTGGTGTAGCATAGCAGCGGAGCGCGCGGCCTTTTCTATAAGTATATACCGAGCTTTTCGAGCTTTCGAGGGCCGTCGTCGCCAGCTGCTGCGCTCGAGTGGCCTCCTCTCTTCTCTCTTGATGTATACATACATATAGATTACTTGCACACTAGTGTGTTTTCGAGTGCCCTCCGTGGGCTTTTGAATTTCTCGATCTATATTTAAGGCGACGCGTGTGTTTGGGCTACCGATTTGGGTTCGAGCGCGAATTGATGGATTCCTAAGTGTACCGTTATGTACGTGCACGCGGAATGATGATAGTATCATTTCAATTTATTGATCGAGCTTTTTTTCAATGGGTAATCACATTTTTCTCGTGGATTGTTGCTTGACAATGGACAATCGTTTCAAGCTTTTCCCATTAGTTCTAAAAGCCATTACAATTATTATTGAAAGTAAAATTAATAAAAATTTACGTATAAACAAGAGTGTCGTGAAGTACGACTGATACATTTATTTTTAATTACTATGCGTACTGTAAATAAAATTAAAAAGATTTTTTTTTTTTTCATGTTACTTTTTGTTTGTTTTATTTCTACCGTTTCCGATACTCTTTTGTATACAAATACAAAATTGCGTGTCTACTAAATTTGAATTTAATTAAATGAAAATCACTAGAGTTGGTCCGGAAACTTTGTTCCGTACACAAAGGATTGATTTTACGCACATAGTAGTGACTACACTGTAAAATCCAAGGACACATTTAAAGACCTACCAAATCCCGAATAATTACATGTTATCAGTGACAACCGATTTCAAAACCACTTTTTAGTCTTTGTCAGTTTCAGCCTTTAAATACACTCCGTTTTTGCAGACTGACTCATACTTCGAAATATCTAAAAAAAAAAATTTTTTTTTTTGGAATCAAAAGATTTCCACTATAAATATATTTATTATTTTTTAAATATTTGACGAACTCGAACGTGGTGACATAATTTTAAAATCTATTAAATAGAACTGTAGCAATATTTGATTATTACAATGAAGTAAGTCTACAATATGTTAGTTATCTGGAGTAATGCAAGTTGATTCATTTGCTCTGTTAAAATAACAGTTAGATTAAAACTGTATATTTAGTTGGAGTTAATTTGAAATAAAAGTATACGTAATGGATATTTTTTATTTCTTAATTTTAAAGTGTTAGCAATACGCACGTCACATAAGTTTTTATTGATTCTTCGTTTACTCACTTGTATATTTATATATCATTATGAGAGTTTATGAAAAGTCGTTTGAAAATAACGTGTGATTATTAAAAATGAGCTGTAGATAAACGTGTATAATGGACGTTTTCAATTAAATTAGTGAAACAATGTACAAACAAAATTTATTCTTTTTGATTAGTAAGTATGCAAACTGATAGTAAAATAAAAACCTTTTTCTCATTTTCGTTTATTCGTGGATTTTTAAGGGTTTCGATCCAAAAAATGATCTATAAATGAATATTGTACCATACGAACGTACACCAAAATAATTTTTTCGTCCCCCATTTATTTCAATTAAAAAAAAAATTATTCTTCCTGCCCCTTAAAATTTTTTCTCCCCTTCGCGACAAAGTTCTGCGTTGGCGAAAAAAAATGCATTCCGCATTAGGTAGCGGTGTATTTAAAGCTCAGTCGTCTTCGTCGTCGTCACTGAATTTCTTGGGAATCTTTTGGTTCTAACGTGATTTTTTTTTTCCTCCTAAATGATGATGTTTGTGCGAAGAAATTGAAACAAGAAACAATCAAATTCCCACTCTCGCAGCACTTGTGGTGATAAATAAAAAATTTTTTAAAAATATAAATTCATTTAAACGTCCACAATACGGTTAACCTGTTATAATGTTATAATAAATGAAATAACGGTAAATCGAGCAAATCACAATTTTTTTTACGAAATGCGTGTCCAAATAATCACTTCAGAAGACAAGTAGATGTAGTTGAAATGAGGAATCCAAAATTTGTATCGCCAAGAGTGTTTCAATAACGCATGTGTTCCTGTTGATATTTCAAGATGTTTGTTTTAAAACGTTTTATTTTAAACACTTGAAGATCACGCGATGAAATTCTTAAATTCGAACGCATGTTTGAAACGAATCGGATGAGTCCGTGACAAAATTCTGACACGTGAATGATTTTTTTTTTAACCTTGATTAGCAGTGTGTATAAATAAAAGACTGTATAGTTACGTTTATTTTTCATGACAAATACAAGAAGATAAGCAGAGGTGGGAAGAACAGCTTTATTTTTGTTTCTAAATATACGACGGATTATTAGTGCTGGATAAACAGTGTAGTATATTTTTAAAGAGAAAAATAGTGAGGAGATTCTTATTTTAAAAAATGGTTAAAAATTCCAAAACAAACTCTATTATCTAGAAATGAGGTGCACTATTATTAGCTGGAAAACTGCTTTTATAAAGCTTCGCCGAAAATGACGAACAACCAAGTCCCAAAATTTTAATCAACACGCACACAAATCACTCCACGTATCTATTTACGATTTTTCAATGACCAGATAGAAAAAAAGCCCAAATTGCAGATCAGATACGTAAGAGCATATTATATACTATACGTAGCTTGGACGACAACAATACGACACCGAGACACCTCTAATTGCATTTTCCTCAATTTCAGAAGATCACGGGAAATTAAAAATAATTACGACCGTCCGGAGCAGTCCACGAAAATGAGCCGTGCTACGCGGATGAAAAAAAAAAAAAAAAAAAAAAAAAAAAAAAAAAACAATAAATCGCGAACTTGAAGGATAAAAAGTACAGATAAAGTACATATTAAACGTCCCAACATTTTTATGCTTACAGCTACAGAATGAGACACATATACCGTACCTACTTTTATAGTTCTCAGGCCGAAAATATGATGCATCGCTCGGCTATGCTGTGCCACAGGTTACGCGAGTGTGTGTGTGTGTGTACAGCCTCATAGGATGATATCACGCGCTCGTGCATTATACAGCAGCTTCGAGCGAACGTGAGGAAAAAAAAAAAAAAAAGAGACGGAAAAGAATGAATAAGAGAGGAGGAGCACATTTGTACGTGTACATCATGCCCAAGGGGGTTTCAAAGTGTATACGTGATGGGTGTGTGGGCGCGTCGGTGTGATTGGAAAGAGCCAAGGCTTTTATAACGCCGTAATGTCTCTTAAGTACGTAGAGTGTCTGGGAGCCGGGTTTTTTTTTTTTTTTTTTTTTTTTTTTTTTTTTTTTTTTTGTTTCATGGCAGATATGGATGTCTACGGCTATATTAACTTTGATCTCCTGGATGGTGGAGGCTTGCGTGAAAATGCGGCGGGAAAATTTTTACCAACTAATTTTGACGCCAAAGGTGGGTTGATTCTTTTTTTTTTTTTTTCTTTTGCTGAGAGAAAATTTAGAAGGATGTGTAGTAATTTATTTGAACAATTGAGCGCAATATTTTAAAAATTGGCGAGCTAAAACATTTATCGTTTTTAAGATTTTCTTTGAGAGGCAAAAAATAACGGAAATTATGAATTTTACCTTGAAAAACTCGGTTTTTTTTTTTTTTAATTTCAAAAGACATCTTCTTTGTAAAAATAATTGTTGATTTACAGAAATTTTCCCGTACCTTTAAAAATCAGATTCAGTGACCCTCGTACTATATCGAACGAGTGCCAGCAACGTGGCCACGCGACACATTTCATACTTGCATGTGCACATACAAGTACAAAAAGCCTCCCGCTCTCGTCCGCATTTATAAGCGGCTTCCGCTTTTGCCTCTATCGTCGACGTCGCCATTGACGACAATGCCGCTGTATACACATCCACAAATATTTTTATGTACATTCACGCATCACGTTGTTTCGATAAGCTTGACATGTTACTCATTTTTCGTGGGAACGTGCAGTCATAGGTATGATTATCTTCAGTTGTAACGGGTTGTCGGTACTTTTATAACGGTAGGAAATTAAACAAATTTTAAAGTTCTTGAGCTTTTAAAAATATTTCGCAACTGTTGCAGAAAGGATTAATAGTCTCGTTGTAATTTTGACATGGACACAAAAATTATTTTTTTTTTTTTTACAAATTTTATCAGGACTGTACTCTTAGTTACTTTTTTTCTAAGCTCCCTAGCTCGAAAGCTAAAAATTTGCAAAGTGGAAAAAATAGTGCTTCTTAAAAATTGGTAAATTTTTCAGTAAAAAAAAGAGCAAAGCAAAAACAACAAGGCTCTTGTTAAATTATTTTGGTCATGTATGGTATTAAAACAGTAGTATATACTGTAAACTTGTTGTTAGTAAAAGTATTATTTATACGTTAAAACGCGTAATCCCTTTTTTCCATTCCAACTCATAAATCATGTTTAAATGTCCTGTTGTACATTTTCAATAGAAGTAGTAAAACATCGAAAAAAGATATTAATTAACTTGTGTTAATATCTAGGAGGAACTCGGATCACAATGTATGTACATATAGTAGCAGAGAAAAGTGGGTACACGCACATGATAGGTACATCCACTGTATAGGGCTTTGCCCTCCTGCGCGATAAGCACACCCACTTGCCGCGAAAAGATAATGGGTTATTATTATTATTGTTAATCGTGTTTAAAGGATTATTTGTTTCAAATTCACCGTATTCTTTTCCCGTCAAACTATCTCGCCGTTGTATCCATCGCTTTGTCTTCGAATTACTTTTACATTTCATTTTCTTTTATTTATACTTATACCTATTCTGGTTACGCATTGATGTTTTCACACGTCCATCCATGTTGCACTTGATCCTGCATCGTATTCGATTCCTCGTAAACTCTAGCAGGGTTTTTACGTATCCTGAACCCCTGCCCTGGCTTTACCGTATCGTTTCCCTTTTTTCCCCTACTTTCGCTT